CTACACACACACACACACACACACACACACACACACACACACACACACACACACACACAATTTCGGAAATGAAATACTTTCTACAAAAACAGTTTCTGTCAGATGCAATTTTTTAATGAATTTTAATAACAAAATGTATATTCTGATGCTATGTACGCGATTTCAACAAGATGAATTTATCTTTTTCATAAATAAAATATATTATATATTATAATATATTATATGAATTTTAAATATATTATATGAATGAACAAATAAATAAATTGCATTGTTACAAAATTGTGTGACAACTGTGCTGATATTAATATTTTTTTAATATTAATGATTTATATATTTCGTTATAACTTCATATATTTTATATATATATAAAATACCTAAATTATTAGAAAATTTCGAATTCAGAAGATTTAAATATAAATTATATAATATTAACAATCTTATAAGTTATATTTCTCGTTAAAAAAACAATTATTTCTTTAAAGTAAAAAGGATGCATTTCATTTCACGCACGCACACATAATTTTACAACAAATTTAATTATATTATTATTAAAAAGTTATGTTATTTAACAATTCGATTTAAACAAAATTTTCGAAATTATGTGAATTTGAAAAAAACTTTAATTCAATTTGTTATAAAAAATCTTTGATTCCTTACATCCTTGCATATTTTTAATATTACCTTGTATCGAAAAATTTATTTAATTCTGTGATAAATATTCTTGATTTCTTGTAGGCATCATATTCATAAATAAATAAATTTATTATTTTTCAATTATGTTAATGTGTTTTTGAAGTATTTTATTATTTTAATGTATTTTTAATTTATAATCACTAGCATTATTTGTAATTTGCTTTAATTAAATAAATGTATTTTCACATGATTTATTGTATTATTAACTAAATGTATTTTCGCCTATTTTAACTCTCAAATATCAAAAATTTGAATTCTCTAATAATAAACAAATATCTGACGATAGTTCAAAGGTGATGACATTAGAATAAATATATGATTTATTTATTTTGACACGCTAACAGTTTTTCTGGTTTATCAACATGACACTATGATCTCCTCGACGAATATATATCACTTAGGATTCACTCTGTCATATTTTACGCTCGAAGTTTTTAATATTGCATCATGCGAGATGATCAGTAACAGAACGTTGCGAACAGAAAGTTGACGAAAATAAAAAAAAAAAATCATTCGTATTAAATGCTAAGTAGAACCATTCCAGGATTTTACTTTATATGTATGCGAATATTGAATATTGGAATCGAAGGTACATTTTACAGCACCTTAATATCTAAAATAAAAGACCAATGTGTCTAGTTTGGATACTTACCGATAA